ATATTTTCGCTAAATTATTCACAGGACACGCAATAAATTTTCATCTGGATTTGACATAAACTTCATCATGTTCATTGTCCATCACGTTTCCATGCTTACACGTTGCACACACTAGGGCTATTTCACCTACTGAAATCGCATCACAAAAAGGATAAATCATCGCATTTTAGCTGCAATCAATATCAAATAACTATGTTACAATAACTTCGCAAGATGAAGATTTACTTCCAACTTCCACTATGTCGCCATTTTGTTTCTTTACGATTGCAATACGACAAAACGAAATTCGTTAAAAATCGCTAATTTTTTCGGTAAAAAGTGAAAACAGATAAAGGAAAGTCATTAAATACATATTACAAATAAAAGTTACCCCAAAAATTATTTTTAATGGCTTAAAATAGCGATGCTGTTTTTGAATTATCCACTTCCGGCAGGATAATCCTACTTCCGGTAGCATTACTAGCATTGACCTAGTTTCAAACCAGCATCAGGATAAGGATCAAACCAGGATCAGGATAAGGATAACTAGCATCAAAAGCAGCAAGCAAAGGAAGCATCAAAATCAGCAAGCATAGGAAGCACCAAAATCAGCATTGATGCTGTAACAAAATTATTTCCCTGCACTGTATGTGTGAAAAGGGCATGCATCTGAATGATGGAGACAAAAGCGGAGGATATTTTGAAAACCTATAGTCAGATTCAAATCGAACAAAAGCGATATGATTCCCTTTTAAACTTTATCAATTAATTCCCCAAGTAAATGGAGGCTGCATAAAATTGGAACCAGGCGAATGTATCACATATTTTCAAGGAAAAATGTATTTCACTTTAAGAATATAAAATACGAACTGTGTTAAGAAGGTTTTTATGCGATAAGTAAAATTCCATATTCAAAAAAGGGACCTGTCGATTTTTTCGATAGTAAATGATAAACAACTTTATATATTCACCGCAATAGAAACGCAACACTCTAATTTTAGAGTGAAAATTATATACAGATTATAACTATGTACCAAAAAAGTTAGGACATCTTTTTCTTTGCCAAGTCAGTTATTTAACGGTTGAATGAATTTCTTTCCATTACCGGAAGTTACTTTTTAGCCCTCTTCACAGAATTCAAAATTTTGTATTTTAAATAAGATCTAAACAATATTTTGGGTTTTTAAGGTTTTGAAGCTTAACATATGTACTGTACTAAAATGCCGGGGAAAAACCTTCTTAAAAATGAATACATTTAGGTAAAAAGTAAATTGACAAAATAAAAAAAATGCTCCATTTAAACATTAAATGTTATTTTTAGATCTTAGAAATAAACAGATACCCGGTAAATCTTAAAACATCCCTCTTCCGAGCATTAAATTTAATTGTGCTAGTCCGCCATATACAACAAATGCAGCCCGATTTCTACCATGCATTATGTTTATTAATATCTTAATCTGAGCGAAAATGAATGTTTTATAGATACTGCGGTCGAATTTTCTCTAACATGGCGTAGTGTAGCAACTTTTGGACTTCCGGTCAAGAAACTGTCATTTATGCTATTGAAACACATGAGCCGGAGTCGTTATATAGAGTACATTTGCATCCACACCTCTTTTCTTTCTTTATTTCGAGAATTTCCAGCATTAGCAATGAAAATCAATCATTTTGAGGAAATATAGGAATCACATCCGGTAAAGAACGAAGGATCTCCCCGGCATTTTAGTACAATACTTATGATTAACAGGTACAAAACCTTGAAAACCCAAAATATTGTTAAAAATTTTATTAAAAATGCAAAATTTCGTTTCCTGTTAAGACGAGTTAAATGAATTCGGATTACGTTTATGAAAACTATTCAGTGATTTTATTTTATATTACTCTTCTCCACACAAGGTAGGAAAACTTCGTTTTCGAAAATGAAAATGACAATTCTGTAAACTCTTTTTATTAAATGTGATAAACAGATTCGACAATGTGCTTAGTCTTGCTCTTATTGTCATAGAACCCCATTTAGCCTTGTTTTTTTTTTCTTTGAAAGGGGACAAAACATTTTCGATTTTTTGATTAAAATTATAGTAGATTCCTTTTGATTTTATTATTCAAACTTTATTTTTTTATGATTAACACTTGATATATGTAATTATTAAAAGGACTTTTTGTATAAATTTGCATGTCAAGAATATGCCTACCAAAGCAAGATTTTGTATTTAAAATGACATGAAGTCATTACAATCCACAAAGAGCCATAATCTCTACAAAAATATAGGCCTTCTCTTTTTACCGACTAGGGAGTAAAATTTCTACTGAGAAAAGCGGTTTCCAATAAATATTTTACGGGGTCACTTTTCTTCGTTCAACTGGAAAAGATTGCAAATAAATGGATAAAGTTCGCGACAGAAAGATATATTATTAGGAAATGTACAAATGTATAGAAATCCGTTTAATTATAAAAGTAGATAAAGGTTCAAGTTTAATACAACAAGTACTAATTACCATAAGCACATGTGTCAAATAATAATTTACAATAAAGATTTTCTGGACATGTTTTATATACGATATATGTACAGATTGGATTTTCTATCACAAAGGCTCGTTGAATGCCACAATTTATTTTCAAAAAAGTTCAAAGTATTGCATAATTTTAACATATATCCTTGTTCAACAAATACTAATAGAAAACCCCTATTACATAAATATGATAATAGAAATTTGATATATGCTAAAGACATCCCTTCCGTGAAACTTGTTCTAATTTAAAATAACTAATACTCAACGTGTGCCTTTTTTTTTTTTACAGTAATGACATATTAAAAAGAACCGACTCTCACATTTTATAAAAGTAGCGAAATAAGGACAGACACAATTATCATTTCTTTAGTACATGTGCCGAAAAGAAACATTAAATACGAAAATTTAATACGACAGTAAAAAGTTTTCTCGGGAAAAAAAGTAATACTTAGAATTGAAAACAAAAACAATGACTATCACAGAATGGTTACCAGTAATTTTCATATGAAACAAATTTTAACAAAAGGATTATTTAACTATACAGGCTTTTTAAAGCATAAATTAAATATTTTATTAAACAATATCGAATTGCATTGAAATAAAGTTTCACACAACATTAAAATACGGATCAGGAAAGAGACTTTGCTGGTTTTCTCCTTACTTGAAACCGTTATTCAAATGACATACGCGTAAACACTTTAAGCATCAGTGAGTAAAAAAATAATACAGTAATAATAGCAATTATTGAATATACAAAAAGCTTTTCTTTTACTTTTGTTTCAATTCAAATAAGAAGGTGAAAAAAAAAAATTTCCTTAACACTATTGTAACCTAAGCATAAAATTGTTTAAGGGTAGGTTATTGAGAATATTTTCTTGCTACTGTTTACATGTATATATTTTTTTTCAAGAAAATTAAAAAAAAATTGAATTAAGGTGATAAAAGATACGAAATTCTTTGTAAATTTAAGCACAGAGAATTGAATACTTAAATGGAATTAAAAAAAGATCACTTAATTAAACTGATGTTTTATACTGTATACAGGGATACTTACACCTCCAATTTAGCGCCCTTTTGTCCTTGACACAGATGGGCGAATTGAAGACGGGACAATTCAAAGAAAAGTAAAGTCTCTTTAAAAAAGTCTCGAAGAGCTGTATTTAAAACAAGGCATAATCTATTGTAATCGTGAAAATAACACAGGGCAAAGATAACTCTTTCTACATTAGCTAAATTTACGCTGAGGAGTGTCTATTATAACTAATTTTCGAAAAAGCCTTACTCAGTACCTTAAATACTCAACAATAAAAACAAAAATTGTAAATCTTGCACAATGTTTCTTTTCTACGATAATATTTCCAGTAAAACTTATTGTCTTAATTTCGGTCAATGTGTCCACGTGCCAAAGCCAATCTAATTAACAATTCCTAGTTCAGAATTACTAAAACTCAGTATTTACTTTTTACCAAAATATGTCTTTTTCACGTTTTAAATGTTGTTTTAATTTTCGAAATGAAATATATATAAGATTTACTGGTAACACCCCTCCCAAAGATGTATTTCTTATGTTTATATTAAAACACGTCATTTTCAATTGTTCATTGACATATTGTTCAAAACCAAATTGTTTTTTGTTGCTGGGTAATGGAGATATTTAACATGCGACATTTGATTTTGGAAAATATGTTCAAGTTAAAGAAATCAAATCACCCAAAAAATAAACAGTAAATACGTTTTGAAAATTCCTTATGGATTTATTCCCATTTTGGATATTCGTTAAGTATCTGGTGACCCAATTTAAATTGTAAAAGCAACAAAACTAATCATTGCAGAAAGTTAGTTATTACTTGAACTTCTTTTTATATATATGCTGCTTAAAAAGTATTAAAAACCAGAATTACAACATTTTCATAGAAGCATTAGTTAATGTACTAAAATTAATATGATTACAAATTTTGCTTTATTTAAGTAGAATATGAATTTAAAGCACGATCTATGTATTCAAGCATTAAGTCATCAATAGCAAGGTTTCCATAACCTCAGTGTTAAAGTAAGGCTGAGAATGCACACAATATTTCGCATACATTACTAGTTGCAGCTGATAAATATTTGTAAATAGTACATGAAGCTAAATTTTTGTAATTTCAAAATATTTCTTTGAAATTGTTTATTGGATTTCGTTCATTTTTGTCTCAAAATACTTCGACTATTTATTCACCATTAACATTAACCCTTGTGCTAAAAATGGATAATTTCGAATGTTCGTTAAATATTAACAAACTAATGACTATATTTTTTTTTCAAACATACAACCAGGTGCAGCTTTTCAATTTGTTTAAGTTAACAATTTGCAGATCATATAGAATAGAATTGAAGATATTAAAATCAAATACCCCCCCTCTCTCTCTCTCTCTCTCTCTCTCTCTCTCTCTCTCTCTCCAATTGTGTGTTCTTTAGGTAGACTATTTTCCTAGTTCAGAATATTAAAATCAAATACCCCCCCCCTCTCTCTCTCTCTCTCTCTCTCTCTCTCTCTCTCTCTCTCTCTCTCTCTCCAATTGTGTGTTCTTTAGGTAGACTATTTTCCTAGTTCAGAATGTGAATTCATCATGTTTCTTTATTTACACTAAATTTTGGTTTCCCCCTTGCATTTTCTGTGTCTCTTACAAAGGGGCATCTGCTGTTGAGCCCTTTATGTTCAAAAATGGCATCATCTCCCAACTTCCAATCATCCTTCTCACAACCACATTGAAAACAAGTTGTTGTGGAATCATAACCTATGAAAATAATAGGAAAAAAACTTTGATTTCTTATAAATAAAAAAATATAAAAACAAATAAGCATATTCGATATTATGTGCACATACGTTAATGCTTACATGTAGGAAGAATAAACTACCTGCATAGAAAAAGCCGGCACTAGCTAAGTTTTCAACCATTTCCTGCGGTGAGAACCCAGAAAAGGAGAGCAGTCTGATACTTTTGCTTGTATATTCAAGGAATGCAGGATTTTCCTCTTCAGGAGTAAAACTGTAATCGTGGGTACTTGGAATGTATGGAGTATCTAATTTTGGAGAAAAAAATCACATGGAAGAATTTTTGTTTTCGTTAAAGCATTATATTTATGGAGAGAACGATCATAGGCATATATGCCTGCCTTTCAATCCATTGCAATGAATAAAATATATTTGAAACTGAAGCATTATATTAAAATCAATGTTAACAAATATTACTGAAAACAAATCGATCGAGAATCATATAATAATGTATCAGTTGAAATTTTCCTTTCGATTGCAGTCGCTATGATTAGTTTAAATTTAACTTCATCATTGGCGTTGAGGACAACTTCCATAAAAAAAAACTGCATATAATTTCAGTGGATAAGACTTACGTTTTTGTCCTGTTCTTGAAAAATAACCTGCGTGGAGTGGATCATGGAACGTATTCACTTCTTGATTTAGATCTAAAATTATTTCATAATATTCATTTAAAGTAACTAGATTTTATTGTAAATGCTGCAACTGTTTTTAAATGAAAATCAATCAAAAGAAAAGGTAGGAAATCTAATATTGAACCAACGTTAAAATATATCACATGGAACAATGATTTTTTTAAATAAATCAGTTGCTTATAGCCAATCTGTTTACGAACGGTATAAAAAATTGCTTCAAGTAAGAGTTTTATGACTGCAAGTAAAGAGTAAAAATAAATGGCTAAAAGTACCTTTAAATGTATCTTCATGCTGAACGAGTGTGATGTTTTCCTCTTCATAACCTTCACTTTTGTGGCCTAGAATTTGAATAAAATCGAGAAATATCATTGAAAATATTTTTTGAAAGCAAATCATGTTCACAAAGAAAAACACAAGAATAACACTGTTCAGAAATATATCGAAAAGTATTTTAAGGCTGGGAAAGGATAGCGTGTTTCAATCTTCTAGTTTTATCTTCAAAAGCCTTAAAAGCAGAATAAGCTATAAACAAAATGAAAGTTATTTGGGATACCGAATCAGTTAAGGAATTATCAAGGAATAATCAGTCTAAGAAGAACAATCTTGAGTAGAAAAAAATTACATAGAAATCTTAAATTAGAAGTAAAATCGGATTAAGAGAACAGTAAATATCATTTAAAAGGGTACATTCGCCAGGTTTTGTTTTTCATGATTGTGTAAACAAAAAACAATTATACATATAGCTCTTCTTGAAAGTGGCAGTTTTCTTCATTCCATCAAACCCATATTGCTTTGTGGCAACGCACCTTGAAAAGCTTTTTTCAAAGTGCGTTTAAATTGGGACAAAATCAACGCACTTTGAAAATTTTTTTCAAAGTGCGTTAAATTTCGGACCAACTCAACGCACTTTGAAAAATTTTTTCAAAGTGCGTTAAGAGTCTACATCAATATATTTTACCATGGAGACACTTAACGCACTTTGAAGAAAAAATCATATTTTAGTCATGGAAAGATTTTATTTGTTATTTATCTTTCGAAAAACTAAGCCAAACCTAACCTCAAAAATGAATTGATTTACTCCCGCGTCGAAAGGAGGAGAAGACGGGTATAAGATCCCTCAGTCCAAATCTTTATCTTTCCAATACATAGGTGTCGGTAACAAACGGGGGAGGGGAGCAATAACCTAAAAAGGGTACGTTGCATTTTCAATGCTTATACGATGTATAATTATATCATTTCAAAATAAGTGGGGGGGGGGGGCTTTACCCCCCATCCCCTCCCCTGGTCCTTCGCCCAGTCTCGATGTCTATGCTATACTTAAAGCATTCATATAATTATGTATTTACCTAACTGGTATGACGTTGAAAACTTTCAATAATAAATGAGTTAATTAAAACAGATGAAAACTAGAAATTTTTAAGTACAGTAAAACGTATGAGAGAAAAAATTTTCATACTTTTGAACAATCAAATTAGCCCCTTTTTTATGATAAACGCTAAGTTGCTCGAAGCTGTCCTCTGTTAGTGTCCCCTATACACCTTTACATCTATTTATCAAAGACTAGAATAAAAAAAAAAACAAATTAATAAACTTAAACAATCGTCACTCTTTTTTGCAAGACCCTTTTATTTTTCCTTTTATTTTATCAAAACCTTAAATATTTAAACCGTCAATATCTCAGGTCCTACAGTGACTTTATTATAAAAAAGTTATCAAACCAGGATCTGTTATTTATCATACCGATTATTTGAAGGAATATTGATCAATCATTTACATTTTTTCAAAGTGCGTTATTATGGTCGATATTAACGCACTTTGGAAAAAAAAATTCAAAGTGCGTTAGCTTGGTCCCAAATTTTAACGCACTTTGAATTTTTTTTTTAAAGTGCGTAATTTTTCAAAGTGCGTTGTAACATTGCTGTTACAAAAAAGGAATTCTATAAAACAAGCTTGACTGGAAATTACTTTATTGGAGGGGACGAAACAAAAAAAAAATTAAGGATGGAAAACGACTTCTATAACATAAAAGCGGAATTATCAGTTCAAAAAGCTTTTTGCACACGTGATACAAATATGAGATGAGATTTTCTTTGTATTTATCTGTTGTCACGAGAAGAGGATACATGTCTTTTCTTGATTGATTAAATGATAGATATGGCAAATATACTGAACTGGGGCCTTAAATTGCAAAGAAAAAGAACGCAGTGCTTCGAAGCTAAATACCCTTTGGCCACTTTATTTAGAGAGACATCAGTCTCTTAATAAAAAGTCCAAAAAATGAAAAAGTACAAATATAAGTCGTACATGTAGTATTTTTTTTTACATATATAGAGAACGCACCACATTACTTGAGAAAAGTGTATCATCTACATTGTATTTCAATAGTAAATTCAAATAAAAGTTCAAACGAAAAAGAATGTGAAAAAGTTCGTTTACATAAATTCTACGAAAAGAAAGAATTGAAAGAGGTAGAAATACTCTTGTGAAATTTATCAGTTTGAAAGAATCAACTTTACATAGTATTGTAGATTCTTAATATAAAATCAAAACATATTTGGCATTGGACGTACCTTTGGAATCTGTCTCTTTGTTTGGGTGTCTTTCCTGGTTACTAGAACTTTTAACATCTTTTCTTCTTTTTTTCTTGTAAATAACAAACACTGAAACTGCTGCAATAAGTAGTATAACGGCTACTGCGATTCCCACTGCAAAACCTAACGTAATTGCAGGACATCCGAATCCTGAGCAACCCTCAGTGCTGAAACATGTTATAGATAAAGGCACATAAATAATACGCTGATTTATTGGAACATAAAGTTCACATATTATGCATTATCAAAATGGCTATTAGTAAGTACTGTAAGATCGTCATACCTTGCAAGAGTTGTTTGAGTAGATTCGCTGGAAAAGGTTTTGATATACCCAGTTTCAAAGGAACTGTCTTTCTTCAATTCGAAACATTCTCTATCTGAAATTAAAATTTTAAAATACGTTTTTGGTCTTGTTCGCAGAAGATCTACGTGTAATGATATATTTTTTGTAGAGTTAAATAAAATATTAAAATTCATCTTAATACTTCTTAGGTTCAAACAGCGATTTGCCCAGTACTTAAGAGGACATAGTAATACATAAGGTAGGATTTGGATAATTCTATTTATTGAATTTTTCTTTAATTGAGTATTAGGTAAATTTCTAAGTAAATGTAATATCCTTTCAGGTGATAATAATGGTGTACGTTCTCCTTAAAGAAAAGCAAGAACGTCTCAATTGAAATACAATTATGCGTCTAATTACAGGCACACCTCCCCTCAAATTGTGCGTATAATATGTGTATAACATATGGAACTAATGTCTACATTCCAATCCTATTTTCTAAGAAAAATTTACATGTCGAAAACTGGTTGTACGATATACGTACAAGTAAAGGAGGACTGTACAAAAAACATAAATGTGGTACTAAGCACTATTTTACAAAGAAATCAAAATATGGAAACATATCGGACACTAAATCGTGTCCTTCAAGAAAACAATTCTGAGATTGATGACCACAGACACAAGCTTCTAAACATTCTTCCATATTTATTTTTCATTTACTTATAGAAGTACATGTATATATAATATTTCTTTCCTAGTCTGGTAGCATATGTAGAATCCAAAATCATTGGAGAGAAAGAGAAGTGCCGATATTTTTTCTCTTTTTTTAATATTTTATCTACAGTGTATTTGGAACTGAAATATTTGAAAGATTTTAATGT